GCAAAGTTAAGACAGAATTCAATTAAATTAAAAGTAGTTTTGACAAAAATGTTCTAGGACACACACACACACACACACACACACACACACACACACTGTGTTCAAATGGCTGTGACCAACAGCAAATTATACTTAGGCCACTCACATGTGTGAAAACTTACTGAATTTGATTTAAAAATACTAAACAAATATTTAGGTAAGTAATAAGCAAGTGTTAGAAAGTATCACGAAGAGCAAATTTCTAGCTGGATACCACTATCTGGGTTAAATGTTACATCAAATATTCTTAGCTTCCCCTTCACTCAAAAAGGAAAGAAAATTCTTCTTGAGATCAAAATCTACTGTATTAATGGCTTCTATGCTATACACTGGCCAAGAGCTAAATAAACCATCAAGCTGGGAGAAAAAAAAATCAAAGCATATTTCTTACAAGTTTAGCAAAACAATGGAGCAAATCTTTAATAGGAGGAAGAATTATAGATTTTATTCCTCAGCTCTACGGTATATATTTCTATCCAGGTTTATATTCCAAGTAATTAGAGGGAGGATAAAAATAGTGAATAAAATGAAAAGTTAAAAAGTTAAAAAAAATTGTTTGGAGAGAGTGTAAGGCTGCAAGTACTCAGGCAGTTATGCAATTGAGGAAAAGTCTGGCCAAAGCCGTCTTAAAGAACACCAATATTATGCTCAGATCAATAACAGAAATGCAATGAATAAATGATCAAACTGCCAGAGCCTGGCTGGAAATTTTAGTTTGCTTTAATTTACACAGTGACATTTAAGGTGCAACACAGGATTATCCTTAATATTTTTAATACTGCGAGCCATATTTTCTGTTACTTTTTATGACTTCTCAGTGGTTTACTGTTTAATATGCATTTATTGTATTTCCCCCCATAAATCCTAAATAAAAAATGGAAGCCAATGAGAAGATGTTTCACGTAAAAGAAAGCCCAGTGACGGCCACCTCCGCTGATGTGAAAGCCGGCGCCGTCAGGGAAGTGCTCTGATCCTAACAGATTCTATGGGGAAACAGGATTCATGTGATTAGCAGGGGCACTTACGACAACATATTAAAGGCTTTTCTATGTCTCATTAACATAGATGTGATAATACATAACAAAGGGAAATAAAAATATAGAGAACGTTAGATTGTTTCCATTTTAAGAGAAACAAATCTAAGGAACTTGCTGCATAAATAATATAGGGCAGCGGGCTATGAATCTAAATTTATGCTTTGAAATTATAATGAATAGTAATTAATGGTGGAAAAATTCTGGAGTAATGATGAAATATACTGATTTGTAATGGGTTAGACTTTTGGATATATTAGACAGTAAAAGCTTTGGAAAGGGGTACATGTTTACATCTAAATAGAATGAAATGTCATTGCCTAAATTAATAATGCAAACTTGAAAAATAGCCCCAGGTTCAAAAGACCAATTATAAAATTCTTTTGTAAACAAATCTATATTCACATTTTTCATGAATAATTATTACTACTAGTATTTCTCCACTAATGTTCGATTTATAAAATGAAAAATATATTTTCAAATGAAATTTAAATAATACTACTATTTCTAATGATGGTATCTTGCCTGCAAATAAATGCTAATAATGGCTAAGATAGGAATACTCTACAGGAATAATTTTTACGTAGCTATAGTAAACAAATAATAATCTAAATGGGAAAAAAGTTATTTAAATATCTTAAGCAATAAAATATTATGAAAATATACCAATAACACAAATTGACCTTATCTTCTTAGAAAATATGTAATCATCTTATAGATATTTTTATTTTATAGAAATTATACATACTCAGATTTATTTTATTCTGTGAAAGCAGATGTTTTCTTTGTTGTTGTGAGGTAGGTATGGTAAGCATTTTGTTATGCTAAGCAACTAAACAATCCTTTAGAACTTATCTGCTCATTTTTAAATACTTTGCTCATCCACCAGAAAACAAAGGTATCTGTTGTAAATTCCACATTTCATTCATAGTCCTTAACTTTAGGAGTATGCATAGATTTGCCTCCTAGTCAAGGTTAAGTTGTCTTTTGTTCACTGGTGAAAACAGGCCTAATGGTATGTACACAGAAAGATAAAACTGTTACAAGAACAGAAAACGTTCAAACTATTTACTTTCAATAATAATCAAATTATTTTAAAAGTTTTAAATAAAGACAAAAATCACCCTTTTATCAAGGACTTTAAGCATTTAAAAAAGAAATCTGGTGGCTATCACTAGGTTTAAGTGTCCTGAGTATTAATTCATAGCACAGTGACAATATTCTGAGGCACCCAGTGTCCTCACGGCAGCTCTTGACAGAGGTATAACAGGGATGAGACTGGGCTGGCTCAAACACACTTCTAAATAGAAGGGATGCTACTTCAGGGAGACAAGTTGAATAGGGGACAAGTAACACAACCTCAATCACAGCAAAAGTAGAACAATTTCAAACCAAGGAAACCTGAAATACTTTGAAATACGTTTATACATACAAAGACTAGCAAAACACATCTGACCAGAGAAACAAAATTCAAATCCCAACCTCTGTAGAAATAATATTAAAAGCCTTAAATCATACTTCCAGGAATTTTTATAAAAAAAAAATCGTAGATTTGCACAAAGATTTAGGAATAAGTATTTTCAGAGTAAAAACCTGAAAATGGCCTAAAATGTCTAAAAATGTAAAAAAGTGATTATATTGTTTATCAATCTAACTTGTGGCCATCCAAGTACTAAACTTATATTGCAGAAGAGTAGTTTTCAAACCAGGCATTTTGAAACTAAGGTATTTCAGTAATTATCCAACAACTGGTAATAGATTTGATATATTTTAACAACTGAAAAAAATTCATCATGGCACGTATTATAAACACATGCTAACACACTGAAAACCTTCAGGACATGAACTCCTGCACTACCTCTCTGAACAGCATCTTGGTTGTAAGGTGATGTACAACCTGTTAACGATCTAAAGCCACACCTCGCGGAGAGACGGGAACGAGGGCCGTATGGATGGCCAGGCTCTGGGGCTGCACTGAGTCCTCATCTAATCTAAACAATGGGCCTGGAAGGCTGGGGTGACACCGATCACCCACTTTCACAGCCCAGGAAGTGGCGAGCTCACAGATTGCTGGCGGCTCCTCCTGGAGCTGAACTCTTGCCTGCGCCCCCGGCAGAAAGCTCCCGCAAGGAGACGAGACCCGAGGCCAGCCGCTACCATTGCCGGTACCTCCCCCACCTGGAAAACGTTTGCTTGTCAAAACAGTCTTCTGTGATACTTTTAATGTTATAATATTACAGATTTTAACTATGGAATCTACTTGTAAGCGGTAGATACACTTTTATCTATTTTATATATGGGGTCTGTACTGACCTTGTTTGAAATAATACTTCTGCTATTTAAAAATAACAGTGTGAAAACCATATTACACAACATTAGTGAAACAGAAAGCCAGTTACAATTTAAGTGTGAAATACAAGATTTATAATGAAGAAAACAAGAAAACTCGAAAAACAACAACTCAAGCCTTATGCATAGAGTACAGACTGAAAGGATATAATCCTCACGCTAAGAGTGATAATTAAGGGATATTTTTGTAATATTCTAATTTCCTTTTTGTGTTTTAGAGGGAAAGCAACTGCATAATATGACCTCTTTCATAAGAAAAAAAGAGCATTTAATAATGTTTATTTCTTAAAGAACTCATATTAGCAGCACCTTAGAATTTCTGTGCCTAATAGGCTCACCATTTCACCAAATTTCCAAGGAACACCAATCTAGTGTTAAGCAAAGACAGAACTCATAAAATGTTGAAAGAATGAATAATTAATGAATGAAATATATCTGTAATATCTCTGTACTATTAGATGACCTCTAAAATAAAACTTAATGCAATAATGAGGATAATAACAGAGATTATGGCAATATATTTACTGAATGCACAGGCTACATCCAGAGGAATACAAAAACCTGTTTTTTAAAGAGGGCTTTAGGTTTAGGGTACAGATTCTAAGATGTAACAAAGCTGGGCTGTGCTGGTACACAAGGGCCTCGGCTGCCACAGGCAGGAAGCTCTCACACCCTGAACAGGCTCCCCAGTTTGCTGGTGAAAGGGCTGAGGCTGGTGTCACTCGGCTGCCTGCAGCCTGTGTGTGCGTGCCCCAGGCCACCTCGTGAGCTCCGACTCGCACTCCCAGGCTCCATGAGCACCCTGCAGCCCCACTACGCTCCTCTCTGCCCTCTCTCCACACCTTGTCACGCACGCTGCCTGAGCTCTCCCACTTCTACGCAGCCGTACTTGCTGCCGCTGTGCACGTCACTCAGCCACTGCCGCGTGACCTCAGTGCGTGAGTGGGCCGAGCGCACACAGCCTCCAATGCTGTGAGCACGAACGTGTGTCCCGCACCTTCCAGGACACACCTGTGTCTGAGGTGTCCCGCCTTTTAAGCCGTGGCAGACATGCTCTCTCCTGGAGGACTTCATGCTGGCTGAACTTGTCCCTTCTCTATACATGCCCCTGGCTTCTTTATTTACCCACTGAAATCGGTGTTATAACTATTTACGAATATTACAAGTCACCTAATACGCTGCAATATCCTTAAAGACAGGAAACATTCCTAATATCATCTTCATTGCCTACATGACTGCTCTACTCATAGCAGACAAGAGGCCGTATGCATTGAATAATTAATTGGAATGGTTCCTTACTTTGGCAAAGAAATAAAACCACTTGAAATTCAGGTGTAGCAAAGGATAATAAAACCTAAATGTTAAGACTATAAACAATGAAAAAAGAACTTTACAATTTCAAAAACAGTCGCTAAAATTAGGTGGTGAAATACACTCCCAACCTAGTAGGTGAATGGTGCTGTAAATTGTGCTAATTCACGTTGATTAGAAAAACTGTTCTTTAGCAGTGCATGGACGAGGACTGGGCCCCTCGTGCTGCCCACGTGACCTGCGGGCCCCGGGATGGGCCATCGTTACCTGTAGTCGCACCACGGGCATCTGTACGGCTTCTCCCCCGTGTGCACCCGCTTATGCCGAGTCAGATGAGACTGGGTTGTGGAGGCAAAGTTACACTCGTCACATTTGAAAGGCTTCTCTCCTGTAACGTATCAAGAAGTGTTGGACGTGAATAATCATAAAAACTGGAAACGAAGAGCTAAAGTTGTTACTGACAATTAAAGAGAAACTTACTTCCACGAATTTTTAAGAATACAGCTCAATGGACTACACATATTTGGCACATTTAAATATTTATTCTCAGAGAAGATACCACTGATTTTTATTTCTATATTGGAATAGAAGCATGGCATACATTATACAGTTCAATGTAGCTTAGACAACAGCTATCTCAATTATAGCTTTGGTTTAGCACTGGATTTGAAGTCATTTGGCAAACTATGTGACATAAGAGCCATTATAAAATTTCAATGAGGTTAAAACCGTGGAACAGCCTATAACAGAGATATACTTTGAATACATAGTATAAATTTATTAAAATCTTAAAATATGAAGAAAATAATAAAGCTATAGATTGATACCAATTAAAATACTGTTTGAAGAGAAATTATAGTTCACTAGTTCACTAGGTCCAGAGGCCTCAAAGAAACATTTAACATAGTATTTTAATAGCACTTTCCATTTTATCACCCCTGTGTAGATACAATATGTCTATCTACACACATTTTAGTCAGGAGCTGGTTCAGGGCTTGCCCAGGGCTCATGGCTGGCCCTTTTTGACTGACACCTGTCTCTCATTTAGCCACCCCTCTTTTTCACATGGTCAAAGAAATCATGAAGTCTTGTCAATTTTTTGTTTGTTTGTTTACTTTTTTTTTAAAGATTTTATTGGGGGAATTGAGGGGAGGTAACAGCGTTGGGGAATCGGGGAGGGGAACAGACAAGTTGCTGTCCTTTTGTTCTTCAGTCTAGTTGTGGAGGACGTTGCTTCACTGGCCCATGTTGGTGTTATCATTGCGCTCTTCCCGGGTGAGGCAGATCAGTCGCCAGCCATTGGACGGCAGCTCATGGTGGCTCTTGGCAGCTCACGCCAGTTGCCAGTCACTCACGGTAGCTCACGGCAGCACACTGCAGCACTGTTGCAGCCTATGCCACTGCCGGTGACTCACAGCAGCCCAGCTCCAAGTCAAGCTGTTGTCCACCATCTTAGCTGTAGAGGGTAGTGTCACTGGCCCTCATGTGGGATCCGAACCAGGGCCCTGCTGCTCAAAGCTCAAGCTCCCAAGCCAGCTCTTAACCAACGCGCCACTCGGCTGGCCATCTTATCAGTTTTTAATTCCATTAACTCATTGGCTGGTGAGCACTTGAAACATGGCTATTTAATTTTAATTCATGTAAATGTAAATTTAAAAACTGATACGGGATTCACCTATTGAAAGAATGTTAAGTTTGTTTGGAACAACTTGAGAATGTCAATCTATTTTTTGAAGTGTAAATTTTATCAAGTCTAAATATAGATATCATGGATTTCAAATGCAAACTTAACCTCTGAACAGAGATGTACTAGAAGTGTAAAATACACACCAATTTGGAAATCCTAGAATAAAGAATAAAACATTGCTAATAATGTTATATTGATATCTATTGAAATAATAGTTTGGATGTATTTAGTTAAATTAACTATTTAAAAGATTATTTCACCTGTTACTTTTTCCTTTATTTTAAAATGGTTGCCAGAAAACTAAAATGACACGTGTAGCTCACATTCATGCTTATGGACAATGATGAACTAGAGAAAACCTCACAGCCTCTTCCTCCAGAAAGTTATCACATACAGTAATGCTCTTCTCAACAGGAATTGTTCCTAGACATTTTACGTTGGGGATGGATTGATTTTACAAATGGTGACCCCCTGTAGCTTCCATTTCACCTTCCAAGGTTTCAGTTACCAGCGGTCAACCATGATCCAAGACTATAAAATTTCCCCAACCATGGACATCGCCTGCTCCTGATGTCCAACCATGGACGCCGTCAAGCAGGAGGATCCAGGATCACCTGGAGCAGGTGATCCTCCTTCTGAGGTAGCACCACAAGGTGGGCAGTAGCCTGACGCTGTCACAGCACCTGCGTCCGCCATCTCCCTCACGTCCTCTCATTACGTGGGTGCTGTATCAACTCACGGCATCACGAGAAGAAGGGTGAGCACAGCACAATCAGGTATTTTGAGGGCGAGAGAGACCACATTCACATGACTTTAATAGTGTATTGTCATAATTGTTCTATTTTACTATTAGTGCCGTTTAATCTCTTACTGTGCCTAATTTATAAATTAAACTTTATCACGGGTATATACGGATAGGAAAAAATACAGTCCATGTAGGGTTTGGTGCCATCTGCAGTTTCAGGCATCCAGTGGGGGTCCTGGAATGTGTCCCCCGCAGACAAGGGGTCTACCATACACACAATAATTTTACTTGTTACTTATTTCTGATGCTTTTGTAATAGTTATATAAGTATACAGACTTAGGTAGAAAATGAAGGATGAAATATCTTAAAGTTACTCTACATCATCTGGCTAGCAAGGAAACTACGTTGGTTCTGAAAATCAGAACCTTTAGAAATCTGTCCTCCGTGCTCTGGGCCTATTTCTATGGCCTGACTCATAACTGCAGTAACATTTAACTGGATGCATACACATCTCATCTGGTGGCATTTTATCTGTCACCACAGCAGCAGCAGTTAGAAGGAGGCAGAGGGACTTCCATCCCAGTCTGGGTTTGGTCGTAAACACTCCCCACCTGTTAACCCCGATCAAAACCAGGACGGTGACCACCAAACAAGCAGGGTGGCTGCGGGGACTAGACACCCATTTGTACAGCACGTTGCAGGCGCTCTGTGACCCGCTGTTGTACCATTATTATGACAGGGCTGCCTAAACACTGATAACGGCAGAGTCCTCTCTCAAAAAGATGAAAGGAGAAGAATGCAAATGGTTCTTCTCCAGGTCTCACCTTCAGGAAAAAAGACAAGCCGACAGTTTATACACCCTAATCAAGGGTTTCACACAGTGACTTTAACATAAAGATATCCTTTAGAAGGTGCTACCAGGAAATATTTCGTTTATTCTTGTAAAAAGAAGACCATATACAAAGCACGGTAAAAATCTTGGAGTTGAGAGGGATTTCTGACTCTTAGCCATCCATCCTTAAAATAAATGCCAGCTACAACATCCCAGCAAGTGGTCACGCAGGGTCAGCTTGAATAACTCTGTTCTCAGTTTCTTATCTGCTGGTCAAGTCACTTAAATTGCTACAGACAACTCAATCATACTGAACTGACTTACACAAAAACTCACTTTCATGATGACGGCAGGTTTTGCTTTTATTTAAGAGACAATATAGAATCTTCATATTGTACACATTATTGCATAAGGCTAAGAAAAATAGCTCCATCTCTTCCAATTTGAGATGGAACAGGAATATTCTACGTCCTGGAAACATCCACACCCACACAGAAACTCGTCTGAATACCCCCGCGTTCACGACAAGAACTGATCGGTTCATGAGACTCACTGAAGAGCCTTTGAAGCGCACACCAGAGCCAAAGAACAGCTCCGATGGAAAACAGAAATAAAAGTGCAGCACTCGTATGGATGGAAACACGCGGCTCAGCGGTTATTTCACTAACTTGCCATGTCTGTGAAGACGGACCATACGAGGCAGGATGAAACTGCCACCACAACCAAGGCAATGAACACAAGCACCAACCCCCAAGTCCCCTCGTGCGCCGTTCTCACTCCTGCCCATCCACACTCAGCTGCTTTCTGCACTAGGTATCCACTGGCACTTCCCAGAAGCCTACATAATGGAAACCTACAGTACGGGCTCTCTCAGCTTGGCCTGTCTCACAGCATCATTTTGTGACTCGACTCACGTTGTTCCTGGAGTAAATAGCTCATTTATTTTTATTGCTGAGCAGAACTCCGTTGTATGAATGGAGCACGGTTTGTTTATCTGTTCATCCACTGAAGGGCATTTGAGTCGTTTTCACATTGGGGTATGACCAACTAAGCTGCTACGAATCTCGTGTGTGAGTCTTTGCTTCGGCGTGTATTTCCTGTCCTCTGGGGGGCGTGGGCGTGGGGTGGCTGGGTCACACAGGAGGTACACGGACTAGTGAGAAACTGCCAAGCTGCTGTCCGATGTGGCCTGACCAGTCCCACTCCTGCCACGTGGGTGCTGCAGCCCCCTTTGCTCCAGGCACGTCCCCGACCCGTGCTGTGGTCGGTGCTCTGACCTGTAGTTCTCTCATGTGCTGAGATCTTTTCAGGTGCATATTCGCCAAACACTTCTATTCTTTGGTGAGGTGCCTGCTCAAATCTTTTGACCCCTTTTTAATTGGTTATTTGTTTTCTTATAATTGTGTTTTGAGAGCTCTTTATATATTATAAATACAAACCCTCTAAAAGATTCATGATTTACACATATTTTTCCCATGTATGGTTTGTCTTCATTCTCTTCACAGTGTCTTCTGAAGAGAACTTACTCATTTATGAAGTTTTCAATTTATCATTGTACCACTTTTCAAGCTATGGTTTTGTTCTTTTATGAATCAGGCTTTTGATGTGATATCTAAGAAGTTTTGATAATCCATGGTCACAAAGATTTTTCTCCTAATTTTTCTTCTAGAATTAATATTTAGTTTTAAGTTTTATTCTTAGATTATGATCATTTTGAGTTATTTTTTCTACATGGTATGATATATGGACCAAAGTTCATTTTTACTGCATATGGGCAGCCAATTGTTCCAGCACTATACATGGAAAAGATTAAACTGCCTCTGCTCCTTTGCAAAAAAATCGATTGACCACGTAGGTGTGGGTCTGTTCTGTAATCTCTGCTTCACTCCATTGATGTTTTTGTCCACCTTAATGATACCACGATGACTTGATGACGGTAGCTTTAGAATAAGTCATAAAGTCCGGTAACATAAGTCCTTCAGATTATTCACTTTCGCAAGCGCGTTTGACTATTTCAGACCCATTGCATTTCCATATGAACTTTAAAATCAGGTCGTCAATTTCTTTAAAAAAAGAAGTCTGATGGGATTCGAAATGATCAATGTGAGAAGAAGTGAAATCTTAACAACACTGAGCCTTCCAGTCCATGAAGATGGTATATGGCTCCGTGTAGGTCTTCTGTAATTTCTCTTGGCAGCCTTTTTAAGTTGGCAATGTAGGTCTTGCACATCCTTTGTTAGTTTTATCTCGAAATATTGTACCTTGTTCAAAAACAAATCACAAATGCATGCATAACCTATTCTGTTCCACTGATCTATCTTTATGTCAATAAAATATTATCATGATTATTGTAGCTATATAATAAGACTTCAAGTTAGGTAGCATAAATCTTCCGCTTTTAATATAATAAATCTAACTGGTCAAAAATTTAAAGATTTTTTTAAATTAAGCAAATATATTCTGATGTTTTCTTATTTCATTCCATCTAAGTGTTTGAAAATGTGTTGGCATCCTGACTCATTGCTGACTTGTTTATTCTAGTAGCCTTGGTGGACAACTGTATCTTTGTCATGGACATGACAGGAATCCAGGGGTAAAAGGGTGACCTTATGGACTCATCCTCTGAGTCAATGGCATAAATTAAAGGTCATCTAAGCTCTTCAAAGCTAATTTTTTTGGTTTGGAGGTTTAACATGAGCACTTAAAAAACACGGCAAATGTAGTTTATTTCACTTAAACTTTATGGCATTTTTATGTCCTACAAGTAAAACTTAAAAACAACACTTTTCAAGAATAACGTCATTTACATTCTCAAGTCTATTAATTTGAAGTTCATATTAAGCTAGCATAATATTGCAATAAACTATAAATTGTCATTTCATATTTAACTTGATAACACTTTTTATTTAAACTGTGTAACAGTAAGAAGTTTTGAATTATATACAGGCTGACAGAAAAAAAAGTATAATGCAGCAAAACGTGCTACATAAAAGTGTTTTGTAGCAGCTAAGCAAAGGGGGGTTCAAGCGCGTCTAGGCTCACGGTCGGGGAAGGACCTCATGTCTGTTCATTCAAACCAACATATTCAAGTCTGTACACAACAGCTAGCTGGTCACGCTTTAATTTGGTTGCATGTGCAACATTCTTGTTCAAACATGTTGATCGGTATTTTTTAAAATCCAGAAATGATCATTTCTTCAGGAAAATACACTTCAGTACTTTCTTGTTTGTTAGCCTCAATGAATAGCCAAAAAAATAAACTCAACTTCTTGACTGTAAAATTTGAAAGAAAATCTTACAAATCTGAAATAGGAACTGTAGTTTACTCATACAATAAAACCTTGGATTGTGAGTAACTTGGTTTGTGAGTGTTCCACAAGATGAGCAAACATTCCTAATACATTTTAACATGGTAAATGAGCAATGTCTTGCAATACGAGTAGTTTGTTTCCTGAACGAATTATGCTCGCAAACCAAGGAGGTATCACTGTGTTTGTTAATGCTTGCAATGAGAGGTGCTCTATGGAGAGGTGTGCACACCTGTTAGGGAAACTGTTGGGGGGCTGATTGAATGGATCGGTGCACTGGGGACTGTCCTGAATCCCTGGTCATTCTAAAGCCGGAGGGATGCTCATACACCTGCAAGTGAGGCAGCAACTACTCTTGAACAACACTGGTCAGTCGGTGGGGCTACCTGCATACAACCACCCCTTTCTTCCTGAATATGACCTAATGGCACATATTAGTTTAAACTTGACCGATCTTCATCCTTCCTCTTACAGGAAGTACCCTTAGCCAAAATGACCGTTAAAAGATATTGTACCCCTTCAGTACCTCTGACACAGGACAGAAGGAGGGACACCAGAATGGCTACCGGCAGAGCGGTGCCTGTGTGTGTCAACCGTCGGTCAGGCCGAGCCCTTCCCAGGAGACATGCACGAGCATTCCTCGGGGTGGCTGCTGGCTATTAACCTGGCCAAGCTCTCCAACCACACGTGGGATTTGCCCCTGTGCCCCTGAATCAAGGGTCTCTGACAGGTGATAAAAGTAAATCTTGGAAGGGAAGATGTTCTGAGTCACCCCCCAGACAGTGTGCATGGCAGCAGGGAATTACGCCATCTGGGACATGTTTGATACCTATCTCTTTCCAAGCTGACTGCAGTGTGCGTGGGCGCTCTGTGGTAAAAAGGTAAACCATGTCCAAGAGGCATGCCGCAGAGAAATGCAGATTTCAAACGCCCCACACAATCCTGGACTTGACAGAAACAAGCATGTGTTGCTTACGTTTCATCAGTCCAGCCTCCACGCTAAAGGGCTAGGCTGAGCTGTGCTAAGCTGCTTGGTTGCAGCGAACAGTCTTCAGAACTGACTTTGGGATTAAAGAATCATGTTTGATTTGTGCCACCGTGGCAGATAAATGCCAAAAAGACAGATGCCTCTGTCTGTGAGACATTGTCCTATATGGTATAAAGTTAATAGCAAAGTAAAAAGGAGCCTCTGGGCCTGACATAAAATATAAAGTTGAGCCTGCTCGATGCAGGCTCCGTGATCGATGGCCGTAAACGCTGTGATCACAGCATCCCCATCCCCGCTGCGGTGCAAGGGGCGCACTGCGGAGCTGGCAAGGATGGCACGCAGAAGGGTCTCCTGGCCCCCAGGGCCACACCAGGGTGGGACCAGGTGAGCACCAACGACATGTGAAGGAAGCAGTCGGGCATCAGTGAACTGAACATATTAAGAATAAAACCCTGCACAAATACGCTCGACCACACACAGTTCCAGCTTCTCCAAGGATGATGCCATCCCGGCTCCTTCTGCTGTCCCATCACTGAATCTTTACATCTCTGGATTAAAAAATGTGATCGCAGGTTGCTACTATAAACTTAGCATGGACTTTTATGTTTACGAAGTTTATGTTTCCAATGTTATGTTAATTAAACATTGGACATTTCTTTGACTCAGTATTAACTCTTATTCCATATGGAAATTTGAATCATATAAGCTCAAGATCTAAAAGGAATGGCCAGCATTAGCTTCCATTGACCTTACAAATACCATAGCGGGCATTAAAACTACCTATAACATGTCAAGGATCAAAATGTACCATAAACAACATATTTCATGTATCTTAATTCATGCCATTTTGGGTGTAACGACCAAACTCAGGCTTTCTCATGGTACCCAAAGAAAAGTCCGAGGTTTAGGTACAAATTGTGTCACCATGTGATTTATCACCTAAACTAGATCACTGCTGAGAGTCTAAAGTGGTTGTATTGATAATTCGAAGGGACAAGCCATAACAGCACAGTCCCAGGCACCTGTGATTTAGAATTATTAAAATAATTACATATAGGACCTCATACCAAGTAGGTAAACAATTGTAACTTTTCGTCCTTAAGCGTTCCTAACCAAGGCTTCCATTTTATTTCATTGAATCACCGAGAACGTATATCGTGAAATCTAAAATCCTCTTCCCTGTCCACATCTGCTCATGTTGCCCTCTTCAGAGCCACCCACCCTCAACAGCAAGAATAACCGAAAAGCCATGACCTCAAAGCACGTGCACTTGCTATGCTTGCAGAGGGGCTGCTGGCTGGAGGGCTGGGTAGTTAGGGAGGCTGAGAGACATGGGAGAGGGGGGCTGTCGTTGATGAGGACAGGGGTGGGCGGGAGAGCAGGTGGGGAGAGCCCGACTGAGAGGAACGTGGATCGCCAGGTTCACCCAGCAAGTCCAAGGCAGAGTCTGGCCTATGGGGAAAAGGGCCTGGTAGGCGGGCACTTCGGAGGCCAAACTCTTTCCCTCCTACTTAACATGAATTTACAGGGGACACCTGATCCAGAAAACATGCAGCAGGCCTGCTTTTTTCAAAACAGGAAAATAGAGGAACTGAAATGTTATGTTATTCAAACAGTTTTGAGTAGATCCTCAAGTCCACGGGTTTTACAAAGAGTGAGAAGACGAGCGACCCAGGACGGAGCGCGGACGCCTGACGCCCACCTGGCCCCGCTCGCTGGGCACTGACCTGTGTGCTGCCGCCGGTGCTTGGTGAGGGCGTGCCGGGTCCCGCCAGCAAAGCCACAGAGGTCGCACAGGAACGACTTCTCGCCTGTTGCAACAATAAACAGATGAGGGACTGCGGAGGTCACAGATCATTAAAACATATCTATCAAGGCTTTCAGGGTTACTAATTCCTCCAATCAAATGTTTCCATGTAAATATGTCAAATGGGAATGAAATTACCACTGCGGTTTATTGACTGTGATAAAATCTGAAAAGCACCACTGAACATAATTACATACTTGTCAGACCCATAAAAATTAGCTTTATTATCAATGGAATGGTTTTGTACAACTTCATTTCTGGTAGATGTCTTCCAGATGGGGCTGCTTTATGCACTTGAACAGTTTTTATGCATATCCTGATTTTTTACAATTCCCATACATCTGGCCTTTCTGAGCTGAGTAAAGATTGCTTGGAATAGTTAATATACAGTATCTATGATTCTGCTTAAATAAAACATATTGAATTCTCTAACAACTGAAGGATACTGAATTGCTTTTGCCTGATTCCATCGGGATCTTCTTTAATAACTTCCTACTTAATAATATGAATTAAATACCTTCCTTGAACGTACTGAAGATGCCAAGTAACAAAACCTACACCACTCAGTACCACTAGCAGTTCAGTGCTGCTTATGGTTTTCAAACTTTCATGGCCCAAGAAAGGAGCCTGGGGATTGCTCAGGAAACCACAAAAGCTCCTACTATCCATCCTTAATGAAACTCTGGACTCAGAGCCTTCTGCGACAATTAGAGGCAGATTTGGCAGACTCAGTATTTGTGAAAAGTGTGTAAATGCTCATTTTTTAAGCACTTTTACACGAGCTAACATGTTGCCGTACAGTTTATAAATGCAATCTATCTTCCTACTGCAGCATTTAGGCAGTGAGTGCGGGAAGCCAGGCAGAGTATCCCACAAGGCTCCCGAAGAAGGGCAAGAGA